AGTGAGTGAGATTACCAGAGGCCAAGCACTTACAAGAGAGGAAGGTGGCAATGGGGTTGTGACTCATGAGTAGCATGTGTCCATGGGCAGCGTTGATCACGAGCTAAAAGAGCGACCCGTCCGCTCTTTTACCTACCAATCTCATAAAAAAAAACAATAATTTATAAGTATTATTTTCTCACTCCCTCGTTGCAACAATGTTCCTCCCACGCTGACTGACGTAAGACACAATCTCATTTAAGGCTGTGTAGGTTAGTCAGCGGTAAAACTGACCATAAACCCCTTCATGCAATGGCCACCATAAATCAACTGCAACTTTGAATCGCATAACGCAATGTTCTCTGTGCAGACTGAACCACTCCCGACCGAGGGTGATAATTTTATACCATTAACTTTATACTACTTTAGTTCGTAAGTTTAATTTTTAGCTTTTGGCGTAGTTGCTGAAATACGAATGTTACGGTAGTTGTGTGGTGTGACTAGGTTGGCAAGGTGACGAATGATTACATTAGAGAAAGCCCAATAGTAGCAGCAGATGAAGAGTTGAGATGCAACGGGTTATCTTGGTGATGCGTAAATATGAGCAAAATGTAATGCAGAAATTTTAAGTATATAAGTTGACGGATAAAAGAGTACACGACCAAAGAAAATATAAACCGATTGCTTGCAAGAGGATATGAGTAGAAAGGGAGAAAGCAGTGAACCAACGAGTGACAATAACAAAATTAGGAAAAGGGTAAAAAGATAATGAGCTCGTGACGTCACAGACAGATTTTCCTCATAGGAATAATATGTCACAGGCAATATAATATTGAAAACTTTATAAAACAAACGTGATTAAACGTGGGTTAAAGTTTTTTATGAGTCGGGTAGATTAAATACTTTTTATAAAGCTGTGAGCTCAAGAAAGTTGGTGGACAAAACAATGCATGTTTGTTAAGGCCTATGACTTAGTGACACGTACCTGTAGATTGATGTCAAACATTTTATTTCTTATTATCGTGACACCAGCAATGTAATATGTTTTGTAAGTAAATAGTATGTTATATAATTATATAAGCGGAGTGTACTGCTTTTATATATATTTAGACTAAACATAGAAGCGTTGTAAATTGCATCACAGAATATTATATGTAGTGTTCTATACATAATATTTTATTGATTCCTACTTGGATCCGAAGGACTTCCCAAACAATATGAAAAGACTTCGGATTATAAGCAACTCCTACTCATAAGCCAAAGGTTAAGGAGTCAATTCCTACCCAGGACAAAATATTTATTATTATTTTCTTAGCTCTTGGGCTGGTTCTACTGCATTTACGAGGCTAAACCAAGTAAATAACACCACACAGCATGTGGTGTGTGCTGCCATTAAAGACAGATAGAAGAAGATATATAATATTTTTGAAAATCTGTAGAAATTTTCCACCCCTGAAAGTGGAAACATTATATAACTTTTATTCATTCTATTACCTAATCCTTCAAATGCAGTAGATCCCTATGACGCTCGAGTAAATTCACATTTAGCTACTGTCATGGTCTCCCCTTTTTTTTTTTCGTGCGGAAATCCCTTCGGATACCACCTATCGGTGGCATGTCGGACTCGAACCGACTAAAACCGCACGCCGTCTCGGGTACTAATAGCCGGGGAACCAGGTATACCCTAGAAAGGAAGTCCCTGGTGCCCCGACATACCTCGGGCCATCTACAACAACAGGTAGACGACCCCCCCACCCGTGTGGGAACCCCATGTTCCCTCTGCTCCCTGGAAGCAAGCGCGCTGCGCAACGTGCTCGCCGCCACCCCGACCTGCTTCTGCTAGGGTGACAGATGGCCTCACCTGTCACCCCCAGGCCTGCGCTTATGGAGGACGGAGGTCGTTCTGCTGCGACCTCCGGCGCCTGAGTCGCCTGCGGTACCTGGCCCGTTCCCGGGCCTGGTGGGCCGCGCCGGGAGAGTCCTAAACCTCTCAAGGTCTCCCCTACTGTAATCTTATCCCATTAAGACCGCTGAAATAAACAACTAGTATGCTAACATTAGTTGATGATTACAGTGAAATTCAATACTTTTTTTATGTTTTTTACACTTTTCTGTGTTTTTGGTTTCGTTTGTTATCTCTTATATTTCTTTAGATATCTCGATATTGATCGCCAAAAGTACGATAAGCCCTCTCACTTACATCGAGAGATGACACGCGCAAAAATAATGTAGATATGCCTAATCTATGAGCATAACAGCTTACTGTTTATTTCCGTGTACGAGTGACGTAATATCATGCTAGCCATTCAGGTCTTTAGTGACAATGGAAATATAACCTCAGCACTTAGAGGCACTCTTTGACTTGGTAATTACAGTTCTCAATGTACGGTTACCTGCTTTTTTTTTTGTTTTATGGTATAAGAGGGCATACGAGCAGACGGGTCACCTGATGGTAAGCAACTACCGCCGCCAATGGACACCTGCAACTCAAAAGTCACAAGTGCATTGCTGCCCTTGGAGTCCCTTGCGCTGGAGTCAGCGGGAGGGAAGACAACGAAAGAATTGCTTAACACTGGTTTTCTTTGAGGCCGTGGTATCATTACGGTCGAGACGGCCCATTAGCGCCGAAGCATGATTCACTTTAATTTCTGATTGCATGGTACAAAACCACACATCATCACATCAACAGCCTTTAATAGTCCACTGCTGGACATAATCCTCTTCTTAGACAGGAGGTTTTGGCCTACTATACCACGCTGGCCAGACGGGTTGGTATAGGGTTTGTACCAAGTTTTCCTTCTTTTTGCAGTGCTGGTGTCCTGCGTTGTTTTGCGCCCTTAGTCGGCTCTTACGAAATTGGGGTAGTGACATTTCGTATTCTTAATCCGTCACTACATGGACAACAAAACAAAACCACACATCAAAAGAATAGTTCTTCTCTGAGTTGCGCCCCCTGCTGAGTTTGGGAAAGGAGGGGTGGATACCCAATTGTGACTCTTATGTTACAGGAGTCAGTACCATCAGGTGACTTGTCTGCTCGCTTGTCCTCGGGTATACCAAAAGAAAAATTATCACCACTTTATCAGATTCAGAGTAGACCCACTCTGCATTTAGGTAAGCTACCAGTATATCGTAGCTTCGATTTACCACCTTCCGGGCCCATTATTCAGTGGGCTGTTACGCGCCGTCCAGGTCACACCTGTAGTCGAATGTAAGTTTGGTGTTCTTTAGTCGCTTACTTAATGACAACTGTAACCGAACTAAAATTCTAACAAAAACATTGTATCGTATTCAGCGGCTTAAATAATTATAATTAATAGAAGATACAATAATATAAATAACTAAATATATCATCCTATCAACAGCCTTTACAAGTCCACTGCTGAACATAGGCCTCTCCTTAGAAAGGAGGTTTTGGTCTACTATACCACGCTGGCCAGACGGGTTGGTATCGGGTTTGTTTCAAGTTTTCCTTCTCTTTGCAGTGCTGTTGTCCTGCGTAGTTTGCTCCCTCACTAGACTCTTACGACACCCATGTGATTAAAAGGGGTGGTGACATTCTGTATTCTTAATCCGTCATCACAGGGTAGATTGCCTCTGTTGAGATAGGCGTTTCTTCCTGACTCCCTTTGTTTCATTCAAACGGCGCTGTCTCATTTGAGCAGCACGTTTATTAGGTCTACCCATATTCAGACAAATTAGTAAGTGTACTTCAGATTCACTAAAAAGCAAAAAATAAACAAAAATTTTTAACAAAAAAAAACCGACTTCAAAAAACACTATTCCAAAACAAATTAATATGCACTAAAAAGGAAAAAAATTAATGCATATTCTTCTACAACTTAATAATCAACTTACTTTTTCTACTCATCTATATGTAGGTACGATCTATGTGAAATAAACCCTATACCAACGCGTCTGGCCAGCGTGGTATAGTAGGCTAAAACCTCTTTTCTAAGGAGAGGCCTATGTCCAGCAGTAGCTCATTAAATGCTGTTGATGACGACAATTACTTGACCATAACGACGTTACTGTAGGTGACTCAAATATCCAGATAGCCCATAAAAGATTCAGCCGAGTACCGTTAATTTGCTCCTAAGAATTGAAGAGTTCCGTTACTTTGTCGTGGATCCCATCATCAGAATCTAACCAAACTCTCATCAAAGTACCCTTAAAGTATATCCATTCCAATAAAAAAAGAATTATCGAAATCGGTTTGCGTGAAATTGAGTTATTCGTCTATTTGTCGCGAACATACTTAATGCAAATTTAAGACTTATATGGTTTTCTCATGGATGCCATTATCAGAACTAAACCAAATTAAAATGGGACCACACGGGAAGCACCAGCTTTCAAATAAAAAAAGAATCATAAAAAACGGTTCACCTAGTCAAAAGTTCTGAGCTAACAAACATAAAAAAAAAAAAAAAAAAAATACAGTCGAATTGAGAACCTCCTCCTTTTTTTGAAGTCGGTTAAAAAGTGTGCTATTAATGGCTGTTGATGATGATAATGACCTTCAGGGCGAGCCATCAGTAGTCGCAATCATGTGTGACGTTTTTGACATCTTACCATCATATCATTTGACAGTCCACTCTCATCAGGTTTCATTTTTAGAAAATTTTAGGATCAAAGTTTAGGAGCCCTTGCTTTTAAAAATTAAAATCGCTAGGGCTAGATCGATTAATCGCCTCCGAAACCCCCTAGTAAATTTCATGAAAATCGCTGTAGCCGTTTCCGAGACTCAGATTATAAATATATAAAAGAATTGCTCGTTTATAGGTATTACATTAAAGAGCGCGCGCTTTCACGACGTTCTCATATATATATATATATATACTATTAATGGGCACTTTCTAGACCTCGTCGCTTGTAGTATTGATTTCATCATACAAACATAGTACAGATATTTCTTTTTATTTAACAATAAATGCAATAATGCATACAAATGTTTGCACTAAATTGGAATAAAACTCACGATCTCACTTTACCTCACCGACATTACGGTACTTATGGTAATATTATAATACATTTTCTTCGTATAACTTTCGTATTTCTGTATTATTTTCACTGTTTTCAGTGTATTTTCTTCGTTTACTGAAAATTAAAAATATGATTAAGTGTGTGACAAAAATAGTTAATTAAACTTAACTAACTAAAACAAGCATCCCCAATTTCATAATTTCCTCATTTTTCCACAGTTAGAAGTGTAAGATTTTCTTCAAATTTGAATGAGGCTTACCTTGAACGAAACCAAGTCAATTTAATAAATAATTGTAATTGGTTAAAAAATAACAAAAATATCGCGTAACATATACACCTTAACAAATTCAGGCGAATTGGGAACCGGTTTTGAAGTTCGTTTGAACTTATGAAGAATCATTAAGGAAATTGGAACATCGGTAATATCGGGAAACAGGTATATTATTTTTATCTATACTAATAGACAATATTACAAAAAACTAAAACGGCTTGGGCAGACAGCGAGCGAGCCGGGACCACGACGTGATGGCACTTTAATTATTATAAAACATACAGCACCGTCGCCCTTGATGCACGGCTTTAACACATTTCTAGTGCTCAATTAACATCGCGGTCCCATCTCGCCAGCTGTCTGCCTTAACTTTAAACGAATATTTGAAAATTCGATAGACCATTTACCTGAACAGGGAGTGTTCTCTAATGATTTTTTCACCATCGGCCCTAGTCTGTGGCATTGGTAGACCTTTGGTTTCTGGCAGTGTCATAAAAACTGCCGTGGTTATGAACGCCGCTGTATTGAAAATTACCACAGGCAATTTGCTCCATATCCGATCCTTTAAAAATTTAAAGAAAAGTAATAATTGTAGATTTCACTTTTTACGTAATAATAGATAGATAATAATAATATTTACTTCACACATCTCTCACACGGCCGTCTGGTCCCAAACTAAGCAGAGCCTGTACTATGGGAACCAGACTGCTGAATAAAATTCTTAAGTATAGCTAAGACTCGTGTGCTCAGTAGGTTAGAGCACCGATATATAAGTATATATTTCTAAATACATACAAAATAGATAAATTAAAGAAATTGTGTGCATCGGTGGTGCAGTCGCATACGGACTGCTGTACTGAGGTCTCGGGTTTGATTTCCGAGTCAGACCAAATGATTGTGTGATCTGCAATTTATTTTTTGTATAACATAAAAAAGGAATACAGAAATGACTTTGAAATAAAATATGAAAAGAAATATGTTTTTAACCTACTACAAAAAGGAGGAGGTTATCAATTTGAATGTTTTTTTTTTTATGTATGTTCGTGCATAACTCCTTTAAATAAAGGCGGATTTTCAAAATTATTTTTTGTTAGAAAGGGGTTTATTCTGAAAAGGTCCCATTTATTTTTCATATATGTCAGTCTATCTCCGAAACTCGTCATCAAATGAGTTTCGGAGATAGACAGACATAATAAATTAGAAATTAATGAAATATGAAATTAGATATGGAATCTGAAACTCATCTGATGATGAGTTTCGGAGATAGACAACAGAACTCCTCAAAAAATTATAGCAAATCAACCGCGATGGCTGCTAGGTTTTTAGTGCTAACAATAGTGTTATTTGAAGTCTTTTCAACATTTTCTTTAAAAGAGATTTTAAATTTCAAAATTCTAAAGATCGCCTCGATCGAATATAGACTTTTTGAATCTGTCGTTTTATTCAATTGACCATAACTTAAACTGGCGTTGTATAGACTTTTATAGTATTACAGCAGATCACACGACACCTAGGTACTGTCCTGTTTATGTTTCAAAATGACTATTGTCTACGAAAGACTTAGAGAGAGAAAGGATGAGAGACGCCTGCTTGTAGCTGAAATGCGAATGTTAAAATGGATGTGTGGTGTGACTAGGATGGACAACGTAAGGATTTTTTTTTCGCATGTCGCGGGGAGCTACACTTACATTAATTGAAAAGGACACAAAGAACATCCAGACTCAGAACAACAATTTGTGGATCACACAAAGTGTTATCCCATGTGAGGATCGAACCCTCAGTGCAGTAGGAAGCGGCGAGGTGATCGCTTAAACCACCACGCCACCCGTGCAGTCAAATTATTACATTAGATGAAGCTTTGAAAGTAGCGCCAGTGGTTGTTAAGTTGAGGAGCAACGGGTTATCATGATACAAACATGTGATGCGCTGATTAGCTGATGAATGAAGTGAAGTAAGTTTTATATATGCACTGACGGATATTAAAGTGCAGGTCGACCAAAGAAAACATGGATGGACTGCGTGAAAGAGTATATGGCTAGGAAGGGAGTAAGCTGTGAACTGATGAGTGATAAATAAATTAGTAAGGTAGGTGATAATAATAAACAGAAAATATACCCTTCTAAAAAATGATTAATGATTTAGTTCTGAGCTAACAAACATAAGAAAAACAAACGGATTGTTAATCTTCTCCTTCTCGACGTCGGTTTTAAAATACATATAGCTGGTTAATCAATCATTTTGACAGCAAAGTATTTACACGACAGACGGACAATTGCAATTATATGCCAATCTTATATACAATTTAACATTAACATCTCATTTACTTTACTGTTTGCGGCAATAAAAACTGTAGCATAGTGTGTGTAAATACATCATAACAAAAACAATATTCAAGGTCAAAAGTAATCATGTTTATATAACAATAGTTTGTTTAAGTTTAAAATTTAACAAAAAAATAAACAAACTCTACCTTCCTCTATATTAAAAATGTTACGTTTGTTTGTGGACGCTTCAAAAACTCAAAAAGTTCATCACCGATTGAGCTCAAATTTTGTCGCGGCGTACAAACCGCTTCAAGAATTGTTTTTATTTATTTTTTGCGTTAATTTTGTTTCACGTCTCTTATCAATTCAATTTCAATGCGCCAAAACGAAGTGTATCAGGGTGCAACTAAATTTGAGGATAGATTTAGACATCCCTTTTTGAACAGTAATTTTTTGGATGAAAATACACTATCCTTTTTTGTATTGCTATACGTGTATACAAAGTTCATGATGTCAACTTGGGTACTTAAGGCGCGTTATAACTTAACAAATTCTCATAAACCTTTAAATCAATAAGTGCACTTAGAGTAGAGTGCCATAATAAGCTAACAACGGCTAATACGATAGATGGGAAATCCTTATTTGTACACCATTTTTATAAGAGATTTCAAGATTGTATTTACATGGAAAAGTGAGATACGTTATATACAAAGGGCGGCTACTTGTAAGTGCAATCTCTTTCAAGTAATCTTGAGTAACCGGTCAGGTCAAATTATATTAAATCTATACTAATATTATAAAGCTGAAGAGTTTGTTTGTTTGTTTGAACGCGCTAATCTCAGGAACTACTGGTCCGATTTGAAAAATTCTTTCAGTGTTAGATAGCTAAGAGCAATAGGAACGGAGCACCAATGAAGAATGTTTCAAAAACGGAGAAAATTTATTACTTGAGCGACGCAGACGAAGTTGAGCGGGTCAGCTAGTAGTGGAATATACAGAGAGGTTGATTTTATATAATGTATTTTGACAAGTTCCACCAAGTGCCAAAAATCGAGAATATAAATTATAATCTTAGGATAGAGATATAATCAAAATTGGGCGCAGTGGTCTCGGAGCGTAGTGGTCTCTTTCTGTGAAGCCATAATGCAGAAAGAGACCGCTGAACGGGATCGAGAGAGGGCCGATCCCTAGCGAAGAAGCAGCACCCTACAGGACTCCTGGTGGCAGATTAATTGCTGCGGTAGGGGATAGGATGGCAGCCTGATCGCACTAAAATGTGATTGGGACGCAACATCTGGATAGACTGATAGGCAGGGAGAAGCCACTGGCTTTCCCTGAGATAGGAGCCCAAGGAGCCGGAGATCCGAAAGGATTTTCTACCCCGTCAACAAAAAAATAAGGATAGTTCATGTTCATATTTCGGAGAAACAGTAGTAATATCTGAATTTTAAAAATGTAATTGCCAATGAATATAAAAGAGAATATTTATTATGAAAATGTTGTCGGCAAACGTAGTGTAGGACGCCCACAGGCCAGGTGAAGTTACGATTTGCTCAAGGTGACTGGCAGGAGCTGGATGCAAGAATCCAAAATTCGATCTAAGTGGCGTGCAATTGGAGAGAACTGGATAGCAGTGGACTGTAATAGGCTGATGATAAAAAGAGAGAGACATTTATTTTGACGCAACATTGATTTTTGATCTTTAGTAGGTACCTGAGTATTATTTTACGAATAAGGAAAAGTTTAAATTTACAACAGCTGTTAATGTTTTTACTTATATGCATTAAGTACTAGTATCCGCTCGACCGCTGATAAATGGACTTGTCGACCTTTAAATTTGTCGGGCTACACAATACACATCCTATAATATTTATAATATTTTTCTTTTAATAATAATATTTTTCACACACGCCGTCTGATCTCAAACTAGGCAGAGCCTGTGCTATGGTTACCAGACTGTTGATAAACACACTTATATATTTCTAAATACATACATATTATAGATAAAGTACATACAGACACAGAACAAATGACCGTGCTCATCACAAAATGATTTATCCTGGGTGAGAATCGAACCCACGACCTCTGGCATAGCAGACAGAGTCACTAACCACTAGACCAACAGGCAAGTCTATTGCTGTTACTTGCGGTTTCGCTGGCGTGATTATGACTTATTTCGTGTTCCTAGGTTTGAAAATGACGAACTGTCATCCAACCGTTCATCCCTTATTTTACTCCCTTAGGGGTGAAATTTGTAAAATCATTTTTTTGGGTGCTCACATCATAAAAACCATCAGCTACCAAAATTTCAAGTTTGTAGCCCCAGCGATTTAGGCTCTGCTTCACTCTGCTTTGATAAATTAGTTAGTCAGACCAAGTAATTTTATATGAGTAGATAACTACATTAATCTAATAAAAATCGATATTAATATGTTTGCGCATACTTTGGTGTGTATAAGTTAAAGAAAGAAATAAAATTAAAAATAATTTTAAGTATAGTAATTGTTTTTTTTTTCTTAAAAACCAGTTCCGCTCTAGGAACATATCCTTTGTCGCGGGGGACATCACAAACATCTATCGAAATGTGTTGTGTTTTTGTTGTACACACATATGTGTTGTTGTTGTACTCAACAATTTGTGGATCACATAGTGTTGTTCCATGTGGGGATCGAACACGCAACACACAGCTCACTAAAAAACGGCGAGGTGACCCTTTAAACCACTACAAAATTAGCGGTAAATTAGCATACCTACTTAGCGGTATGAGTAAGGCTTAATAAATTAAAATACTTACCGAGAAAACGATAAAAGGTGAAAACACATTGGCTAAATAAGCACTCATGTGCAGAATGGATACTCCAGAAGCCCGGAATGGGGTGGGAATTATCTCAGTACACCATTGCATTGCACCTGTATAGCTTATTATCGAGAAGAGACGTGCTGCTATCGCTAAACCTGCTCGGGGTAGTCCTGTAAATACAAGTAATCGTCTTGATAGTGTCTCTTAACCAACAAATATCAACAGTCCACTGCTGGACATACGAGTAGGCCTCTCCTTAGAACTGAGGTTTTGGCCTAATTTACCACGCTAGCCAGACGGGTTGGTGTAAGGTTTGTGTCAAGTTTTCCTTCTCTTTGCTGTACTGTTGACCTGTGTAGTTTGCTCCTTTAATCGGCTCTTACGACACTCGCGGGATTAATAGGGGTTCTGACATACCATATTTTAATCCATCACCACACGGAAAGCAAAAAACGCAATCGTTATATTATTAATCGTAGGAGAACCATGCTAAAAACAATGCAAAACCCGTCTTAGTCAATGTTTTTATTGCTTATACCGTCCAAGTAAGCTCACCACCTACTACTATAAAACCATACATTTGAATATATTTTTTGTAATTTAACTTAATTGAAATTGGAAATCCTATGTTTCATGAATTAGTTTAGTATTATTAAATATAAAAACATGTTATAATTACATACTAAAATATAAATATAAAGTAAATAAGCAACGAAGGGCAGAAAGTCTGAGGCAACAGCTATTTTAAAATTTTGAACTTACTCATTGCCAAATTTTATACTTAAAGCTAGTATTCGCGATTTCATGTTTAATCAATACGCGAATTAATTAATGAAATTCATTCTCATGTCACACATGAACTCTAAGAAGAGCGCAATTGATAAGAAAATAAAAATAGCGCATAAATATAGAAATACTAGCTAATTATATATTGATAAAAAAATCCCTACAGACGATTTTAATTCTTATAATTTTCATAAACTTATTGACAATCAAACCGTTTAGGCTACAAATCTTGCCAATGAAAAAATAGGTTGCATCTAGCACCCAGACCTTGCACCTACCGACTATTACTTTTTCCAAAAGAACAATGGCAGAAACATATTTACCTAAAACTTAAGCGTTTAAAAAATCGAATCACATTAAACTTAATCAAGATTTTTTCTATGATTTATCATTACACCACCATGTGTTGTATAAGTCTTACAAGAGATAAGATATTTTTGAAGATTTTATTTGACCTAACTACGTAATGTCAGATTCGCCATCACGTATAACTGACTAGGGATGCGTGGTGGCAATTTTATATTATGGAACATTTTATCGATAATCGATTCTTATAGCTTTGGCTGAAATATTTACCGAAGGTTCACCTATTATGATTATGAATTTGCATCTGCCCACGTCTTCACTCGTACGGTAGAGTGACTGAATCAACATAATTAGAAATGATTTAAAATATTTTTGACTCTCTTTAAACGATTTTAAACACACTAAAGAAATAGAATATAGTTACGTTATTTTCCACTACACAGTGTGATGAGAAAAATACATTGTCATTGATAACGGCACATAAATAGACATACATCGATACTTTCAAAATGTCGATACGTCGTCGTTTAGATCCTGTCAAGTTCCGGACTCACCACGATTGTTATTTTATTTTTGTTTAATTTAGTGTTAAACTCGAATAGATGTTATGCTTTTATTTTTTTTATTTCATATACTGCAATAATAATGAAAATAATATTTTGGGCTATCTAACACACAACGCCATCTAGTTTCAAACAAAACATTAACAATATGTTAGTACTTAACCTCGAAACATTCAAAATCCAATATCTTTTTTCCTAGACTTCTTTCGCAAGTAATTTTGATATGAGAATGGTCAAGAATAAGTTCTCAAGTGTTAAGAATTTTTTGATATTTAAACGCTAACATTTCAGTTCAAATAAAGTTATGTATGTGGACCTGCCATTGTCCTTTAGACAACTTTTTGGTGGGTAAAAAATTCAATTCCCGAGAGGCAGTACAAAATGCCTTTGAAGAGTTTGTTGCCTCCCGTCCAGCTGATTTTTACAAGAAATCAATAAACTGCCAAAGCGTTGGCAAAGATGCGTCGAGTGCATGAGTGATTACTTCGAAAAACAGAAATAAAAAAGTTTGAAAAAATAAGTACTTTCACTTATTGCATACAAAACGGCAATTTCATAGTTAAAGGTCTATTATAAATACACACATACGTAAGAGATTACCCCCTTCCTGGCACAGACGGGTATAAATCTATTACTTCTTGTCAAGTAAGGGGTTTTTCCCATTGAACAAGTGTTAGACATTCTATTACAAATGTGAAAAATAAAATTCCCCCAATAAGTCACGTGATATGTGGCCAGTAATAAAACAATGAACATGATTAAAACTTTATGCTGAATAGAAAATCTTTACGAATGTATATCTTCATAGCTAAAAAGTCAATCATTTAATTTTAAAGAGCAGTGATGGCGTAGTGATTACACACCGGGTTACTCTTTTCCAGGGGAAACAAGCACATGCGACGGACTATACGACCATTTAGGCCTTTGGATCTGCAAATTGTAATTTTATTTTTAATAGTATCGGTAGTAGTGGTGACGGATTAAGAATACGGAGTATCACCACCCCTATTCCTCCGTACTACACTACACAAGACAATAGCAAAGAGAAGGCAAACTTGACACAAACCCTTTTTTTTTTTTTTTACGTGTGGAAATCCCCTCGGACCGTCACCCCGCCGGGGCTCTCGTTCTTCGGGGCGGTGTGTCGGACTCGAACCGACTAAAACCACACGGTGTGCCCTCTTAGCGCTTCCAGTTTAGGAGGGGTCCAGGTAGTTATCGCCTTCTGGACCACTCCTAGCGCCGGCCCGCTCCTGGTGCGGGCTCCGTCTCCAGGACCTCTCTTTTTAGGCGACGTCCTCGCGGCTGGCCAAACTAATGCGGGTGGAGGGGAGAACCCATCCCGTCCACCCGCGGCCACACTCAGGGCGGCATGAGGCGCTGGTAAGCGCGCCTCCGCCGCCCGGTTCGCCGGCGGCGGATCGGGTCCGAGTGGAGGTCGTCCTCCCGGGCCTTCTCCGCCGCCTCCTTCTGCGAGATTACCTCCTCGCAGAAGGTTGCGACCGCGGTAAAACAACTGTCGCTACCGGCCATGGAGCGAATTATGGCCGGTAGCGAGAGATCTGCTCCGATGACTGCAGTGAGGGCCCGGCGCTGCGTCGCCCATGCGGGGCAAACCGCCAGCGTGTGCTGGGCCGAATCCTCACTGCAGTCGCAGTGGTGGCAGGCGGGACTCGATTCCCTCCTAGCGACCGAGTACAGGTACCTTCCGAAGCAACCGTGCCCGGAAAGCACCTGCTTCAGCCGGAAGGAAAGGGTCCCGTGCTGCCGCCCTGCCCACTCGGCGATGACCGGCTGGAGAGCCTCCACGGCGGCGAAGCCGGCGCGTGGAGTCTCCAGCCGGAACGACCATCTGACCATGGTGGCTCGGCGAGCGGCTTCGCGCCACTCGCGCACGTCTTCGGGCGGAGGGCGAAATCCGCTCTCCGCCCGGAAGTCAGCCACTCGCCGATAAACTTCGGCGAGCACTTCCGCCTCCAAATCCCACGGGGGTGTTCCGGCCAAGGCGCAAGCCGCCTCGGTGGACACCGTGCGGTATCCGCGTATGGCTCTGACCGCCAATATCCTCTGGGGGCGCCAGAGGCGCGCCCTATTCTGGGCGGTCAGAGCCGCCACCCACACCGGTGCACCATAAAGCGCCATGGACCGGACAACCCCCGCGTACAGCCGCCTCGTGGGAACACTGGCCCCGCCCAAATTGGGCAAAAGTCGCCCTAGGGCGGAGGCAGTGTCCACCAGCTTCGGACCAAGCTGTCGGAAGTGCTCGTCGAAGAGCCACCTACCGTCTAGGACCAGACCCAGGTACCTCATCTGGGCCCGGACCGGTACGAAGACCGAGCCGACCTCGATTGAGGCGCCGGCGGGCGGACCACGACGGGGCCCATGAAATAATAGGGCCTCCGTCTTATCCAGGGCCACCCGTAATCCCAACGCCTCAATGCGCCCGACCACCTGGGAAACTCCCGTGGCGGCCAGGCGCGCCGCCTCCTGGAAGTTAGCCCCCCGGGCCGTGAGCAAAGTGTCATCCGCGTAGCAGATTACACCCAGCCCGGGGGGGAGACGCCCTCGTAGGGCCCAGTCGTACCCGATGTTCCACAGGAGAGGTCCTAGGAACACCGCACGACATGGCTCTGCGTCTCAAGACGCCATCTCGGTCCTCGTACATGACGGTTCGCTCCTCAAGATAGTCTGCCACCAGCCGCCTCAGGTACTCCGGCACTCCGTGGTAGCGGAGCGCTTCCCTGATGCAGCTAAATGGCAAACTATTGAAGGCGTTGGCGATGTCCAAGGACACCGCCAACACCACTCCGCCGCAGCTCACGGCCTCCTCGGTCACGGCCCTAAGGCGCATCACGGCATCGATCGTCGAACGCCCCTCTCGGAAACCGAATTGGGCGTCCGACAGATCGGGGCCAACCTCGCAGAGGTGCCGGACGATGCGGGCAGAGAGTACCCTCTCAAAAAGTTTACCCGCCTCGTCCAGCAACACGATAAGCCTATAGGCCGCGACCGAATCGGTAGGCCGTCCCGGCTTCCTCAGCAGGACCAGCTTCCCGCATTTCCAGCGCTCAGGGAAGCGTCCGGACGCCAGGCTAGCGTCCAACACCCCCCTGAGGTGGTCCGACATGTAGTCGAGGGCTCGGGCCATCACTCGGGCTGGAACCCCGTCCGGCCCGGGGGCAGTGTTCTTGGATCGAATCCGTAGAACAGCCGCCCCCAACTCCGATTCCCTGACGGGCGGAACATCAACCTCGCTGCCCCCGTCGTCTCCGACTGATGCAGCCATCGACGGGGGTGTGTGCTCCGCCCGCTGCGGGAATAGACCCTCGACCACTTCCTGCAGGAAGCTGGGCTGGAGAGTCTCCGTAAGGGGGGGGGGCCGACGTGCGGAGCTTTTGACGCACCGCACGATAAGGGCGACCCCAGGGGTCACGCTCGAGACTCTCCAGCATCTCCTCTCTACCAACATCCTTGGCGCGGCAGATGGCCAGCCTCAGAGTTTTCCGAGCTTCTCGGTACTCCTCATGAAGCCGGTCCACCTCCTCACCGACCCCGCGGTGACGTCGCCGACTACGGGTGAGGGACCTCCGGGCACGTACACAGGCCGCACGGAGGTCCGCCAACTCCTGGGACCACCAATAGACCTCCTTCCTTGGAGGCCGACAACCACGAACGCGGGGCATGGCCGCATCGCAAATCTGCGTAATCGCATCGCAGAAGCGACCAGCCCCCATGTCGACCTCCTCGGTCGGGGCCTGCGGAGACAGCCAAGAGTGAATAATGGCCGCCTCGTCTAGTAGGTCCCTGTCGAGCTTGGCGACAGCCCACCGCGGGAAGCGGGAAGGGCGCCGCGCCGCGTGACCCCTACTGGGGTCCTGGGACCGGGGAAACTTGACACAAACCCTATACCAACCCGTCTGACCTAGGTGGTCTTGTCCTACCTCCTTTCTAAGGAGAGGCCTATGTCCAGCAGTGGACTATTAAAGGCTGTTGATGTGATGTAATGAGGTGAGACAAGTTTGCTGATAAGTGATATATTTTGTGTCAAATCACTTAAAGCAACTTACCATCACGAACAAATGAAGCAATAAATAATAATGTACTGCAAATAAGTGCTGGGCCACATGTTGATGTTCTTCTTCCAAATCTGAAAAGGATAAAACAAAAACAAGAATAACTAGAAAATAAACCGGTCAGGTACGAGTCGAACTTATGTGCCGAGGGTTCCGTACCTACCCAGATTTTGATTTTGATTTTGATTTTGAAAATTTGTAAGTACCAAAATTTATCTTAATTTTAAACTTTTTTTTTGGAATTATTCCTTTATTTGTGCTGTAAGTCGTTTCTTTTGCTACTTACAAGTTTTCGTGAAAATCGAAATTTGCCCATATCTTTTTATCGTGTTGACTCAGTACCTTGATTTTTATACACCTAATAGGGAACATAGACCTCAGTATCTGGTATAAATTTCAACTTGCCAAGTCTACCCGTTCCTGATAAAATAGGTGGTGACACACGGACAGACGGACAAGAAAGTGATCTTATAAGGGTTCCTTTTTTACCTTTTGAGGTACGGAACCCTAAAAATGACAGTATAAACGATGTGAATTACACACTTTATATATTTGAGACTAATTCCTTCCAAACGCCTACTATTGTAACTCCTATAAACCAGGAACAACAGCATTGACCCACACCGAACTTTAACACTCGGGGAAACAAAAATAATAATTTATATATTTATTTTTTTATTTAAAAAAAGACAACTCCCGCACTAGGAATATATCCTGTGGCGCGGGGGACTTTACAAATATACTCGTACATTAAACGGACACAAAGAACACCCAGACTCAGAACAACAATTTGTGAATAACACAAAGTGTTGTCGCATGTAGGGATCGGACCCACAACAGTAAGCGCAATAGGAAAAAGCGAGGTAACCGCTTGAACCACTACGACATACGTGCAGTCAATAGTGCATATATTGTACATAAAGGCTTTGTTCATGAAGTACTAAAGAAATTAAATAAAGCCATATTAATTGCCTCTATTACTTTACTAGTCTGAAAATCTGACGAACGAGTTTTATTTTAACCTTTTTTTGACGTGACAACGTCTTATAATTCGATGGAGCCGGCTGCACGCTCGAAAAAACATGACTCATGCGGCGTTACCTCGCTCTGAGGCGTTCCATCACACAATCGGCCTCCGCGTTCGGCAGCGTTTGACATCTGTCTCTCTCCTACTTGAGTGAGCGATGCGTCCGCGTGGACAGCTGCTATACAATAATACATTTACATGTTTTCGTAAAATGCAACCATTCCATCAGTATTTTCTTAGGACGTTGTCACGTTCAACTATCGTCAGTAAACCGACTTTTCAGGCAACCGATTTGTGTTTTGGATATGTAGTTGTCATTACCACAGCTAATACGTAATACCACCGGTTTCCAGCGGGTTGAAATATTGGGTTCGAATTGACAAAAACTACGCAGTGTAACACTGCATCTCCCTATGCCTACTATAAATAGGAGGTATTCGGGTATGACTGTTTAATCATCATTATATTTATTACTGAAGTCGTTGATATATAATAAGAAAAAACAGTTCTCTAGCCTGTCCTGTCTTCACTTGCCTTACATTACCTTTTCGTAATTATTCCTTATTTAGTGTTGCCAGACAATCGTTTATCCCTTATTTCACTCCCTTAGGGGTCAAATTTTAAAAAAGCCTTTCTTAGTGGGTGGTTACAACATAAATAAATACTAGGTAGCCAAAATTTCAAGTTTCTAGCCCCAGTGGATTAGGGTCTGCGATGATGTGTCAATAAATAAGTCAGTGTCAGAATTTCCTATGTATACATATGAAATTCTGACACTGACTTATTTTACAGTTACACAAATTCATTTACATACCTATCAAGGAGAACAGCAACCGCAACAATGGCCATAAACTCTGAGACTTCATTAACACTAAACACGGCAAAGAAACTCAGGCCAAATGAATTGGACAAACGCATAACACCATCAAATACGCATCCACATCCCATAAATACGATTATTAACTTGATCATCGTATTCCGCAGCTTTGTACTCCTGAGCATGCTGAAGATGGACTGCCTGTCTTCTACTTCGTCTCTATTTGAAAATACCTAACAACAAAAGAAAATATTGTCATTAATTACCATACTTTTTTCAAAAAGTTCTTCAATTCTTGACCCTTTTTTTGATAAACGTGTTTAACTGAACCGAAAAAAACTTCTCATCAAATTGCTATTCCAATAAATTATTTGGTTAAACATTTAATCTGTTACAATCTATAATAAAATAACAAAAACACAGACGGTGTTAAACACTGTACTGAGCTGGCATCGTCTCCAGTTTTTCTCCTGAATAATGATCAAGGAAGCACTCCGAAGATAAACTTATACGTTTCAGTAGCGATATCCCTTGCGGAGTTTCTTTTTTCAGGAACTGCGTTACACACCGAACTGAATGTATCAGATTTTGTAAGTGAAACCTCTTGAGACATAAATCTCAAGGCTGGTCTTCAGACAGAAAATAGCCCGAATTTCAAAATTCGGACGAAGGTTTACTTTGATTATTTCTCTCATTTTTCATGGCACAATTTTTTCTCTGAGTAGAGGTATAATAAATTGTGTCTGTCTAGCATACATGATCAATGACGGCCAACCTTTTACACTGTCCATGTTGTCATCAGTCAGTACATAGTTTATGCAGTCTCTTCCGTAATATCTCTTTATCATCAACATCATCAGCCTTTAATAGTCCACTGCTGGACATAGGCCCTCCTTAGAAAGAACGTTCTACTTGAGGAGTACGGTGGGCCTCTTAGGTATCCAGTTGGTCTGAAAATCGTTTTGATTCCGCTCTAGATATCCGCATACCAGACATGAGACCTACCTATTCGTAATATTAACTGTAAATTGGGGAACCGAAGCTGATAATTGTAATACAGGCTCAGCCTAATTCGACTACTGAAGCGCCAGATGACTGCTCCACCTTGATTTAAAAAAAAATACCAAGTAAATTTAATCTCCTAACATACTAATTTTAGTACGAAATACTATTCTAACATTTTTCGATATTACAATTGTTAGATGGCAAAATGTATAGGTATAATAAATAATTTAAATTGTAATATAGCTTCGGTATCAAATAAAAATAAACTTTTGTTTTTTTAAAGGACAAGGTCGATATACAAACGTTGTTTTTAAACATCAAGACTTATGAAGATAATATAACCGATCAAACAAACTTATTATCAAATATGAATAAATAATTAAATTATTGACAATGTTATGATGAAGCTTATTAGTTCCTCATTGTAATCAGACGTGTTTTTAAATTTATTTCTATACTAATATTATAAAGCTAAAGAGTTTGTTTGTTTGTTTGTTTGAACGCGCTAATCTCAGGAACTACTGGTCCGATTTGAAAAATTCTTTCAGTGTTAGATAGCCCATTTATCGAGGAAGGCTATAGGCTATATATCATCACGCTAGGACCAATAGGAGCGGAGCACCAATGAAGAATGTTTCAAAAACGGAGAAAATTTATTACTATTGAGAGCCGCAGACGAAGTTGCGCGGGTCAGCTAGTTTAAAATAAGAAATAATAATTATCTGAATCGTGACCTCGTTTTCACTAACAACCAGTAGTAACGGAAAGTGTACCAAATGCTTAGTACACAATTTTATGTAAAGCGATTTGGAGACCATGTGCTATAATTAAAATACACATAATATCGAACTGTCCATTTAAAAGGAGCAACAGGATGCCGCATCGATGCCTTCTCATACACCGCGCCCTAACGTTCAAAGCCAAGGAGATGACCGAATGGAAGTCATTTTCACCCCTGAGATTCAGAACTGGATGTCTCTTATAGAGCAATGTCTTAGTGAGATATGCACTATTGCCTCGGAAGGGAAACTGAACTCGGAGCAGAAGTTTGTAAACGGGTCATCTTGTAGTGTAGAGATTTTATTATTGTAACTCGATGTTACATGTGCCAAGTTTCGAGAGACATCATACACCTGTAAGTACTGAGCTAGGACACTCGCTAAAGGACTGCACCAAGAAGACGGAAGAAGCAAAATGCGCTGCCTGTCTGGGCTTCAGAAACCCGAACAATCATGTCTCAGGAGCTCCTGACTGTCCGGCAAAGCTGATGGCTGAAAAAAGATACTTGAACTCCATTGATTACGAAGGCGCCTAAGAGCGCATTTAACAAAGACATTTGCTGACCTTTCTCTGTTTATAAAGATTTAATTCCTAAGTATTTTATTAATCTAATTATGCAATGAATCATTCTGTACCCAAACATGAAACATAATGTTAAGCTATACCAGCAAATTTTATATTGTGGAAACTAAGGACACTGTATACTTCCACACAAAACTAGCACTCAAATCCACATCATACATTTGTTCACACGCACATATTAACTCAATACACTCTGAATACCCAATACACACATGCTGCATGCTCCCTTTGCTAGTTTGTTATTTAGTATTAAGAATTTGTACCTATTATGTGGCCAGAGCGAGAAACCACTGACGACTCAAAACACAGGTACACACCTCGTTTTAGGGTTAGAGGCCACCCATGTATATTCTTTGATGTACTTTAACCAGACAGCAATAACTAACTTTGTAAAATTACTTAAATAAAGATTTTACATTATTTATTATTTTATTATTATTAAAGGAAAAACAAAACAACGCAGGACAGCTGCACTGCAGAGAGAAGGAAAACTTGACACAAACCCTATACCAACCCGTCTGGGCAGCGTGGTATAGTATGCCAAAACCTCCTTTCTAAGGAGAGGCCTATGTCCAGTGGTGGATTATTAAAGGCTGTTGATGTGATGATGTGATTATTAATGTTAAGCTCTGAAAGCTTTGCAAATCCGCACTGTTCGTGTTGTCCGCTTGTAGTGACTGTTCATATTGAAATAAATAAACAAGATTATCAGTTCTTACTATAAATTCGTCCATAATTTCATCGGGGATTTTCGTTCTGTTGATACGTTCAATCCTCTTCAATATTGTTACGGCTTCGTTGCCTCGTCCTCTGCTCACCAACCATCTAGAACATAAATTTTTCAGCAGTCTTCTAACGCACTTTGAAACTGAGTCTCTGGTGTGAGTTTATTCCACATCACTGCCGTGCCAATCCAATACACTGTAACTTTTGATTTTGAAAGCTTTGTTACAGTTTTTTAACACGTTAAAACCCTAATTTCAATACAATACAGTATTTTTTTGATTATTTTCTCTTCTAAAATACACTTTATAATAACAAAAGTATTGATCAGGGGTACTAAACCGACGTGAAGAAACTGATTGAGGGTTGTTAAGGCAAAACACTGTAAGTCGAGTTACAGCCTTTGGAATTGGCACGGCAGATTAACTCCATCATCACAGTGACCGCTTTCGGCTTTGCGTTTGGTGAAGAGTTCATAAATGATATTTATTTCTGTAAGTAAATCTTTTCAGATATTTTTACAAGTCGCACTTTACAGCTAGAAGGCGCCGGCATTTCCTAAAACTCACTCTGGGAAGAAACGCCGAAACAAACCACAGAGCTGTCTTTTTTTTAAAGTCCGTAAACAAAGTTAAATAAAACTGTGCGAGTAGGGTCTGGGTAGGCCTTTTTAATAGGACCACAGTTTTGAGTCGGCCTGTCCATACAGACGGCATACAGCCTCCAGCCATCGTGTCTAACCGATATTGATCAAGATCAACGACCCGAAGCATGATAATACCGCCAGCAGGACACTTAGGTATGCCGTTTTAAACACTCAAAACCACCAGAAAGTTACTAAAATATGAATTAATATTTCAAGCCTACACTGTATAGTTCACATTTTCATACTTACATAAAAAAATACTATACAATTCAAATTCAACTAAAAATAAACAAATTAAAACAAACAAAATACTAAATACACCAAAATAAAAGTAATTAAATGTCTATCACTTTCAAACTTAACAACAAAGATGGGAACGTAAATGTGGGAGTGAACAGTATCAATCCAAAGCAAATTTGCAAATAATCTATAATAGTGTAGCAAGCCTTTTCACACAGTTTTAGCATTACTAAAGACTTAAATTTGTTAATACTTAATTCATGGAGTTTGCTTGGCACTTTATTGTAAAATCGCACACCCTGACAAAGAAAAGACTTGCTTACTTTTTGTAATCTAGTGTTTGGTAACACGAGTTTATCTTTATTTCTAGTGTTTATTTTATGAATGTTGCTAAACTTTGTGAATAAATGATTATTTTTCTTTACACACACTAAATTTTCTTATATGTATTGAGATGCGACTGTCATGATACCAATTTCTTTAAACTTATCCCTCAGTGACGGCCTATAACTGAGATTAAAAATTGCACGAATAGCTCTCTTTTCCAACACAAACATACTTTGAATGCCAGCAGCTTTTCCCTACAACAAAATACCGTATGACATTACACTATAAAAGTAGCTAAAATACACCAGTCTAGCTGTTTCTACATCGGTTAATTGACGAATTGTATAAACCGCGTATGCTGCAGCAGAGCTGAGTCTATTCGACAATCCGTCAATGTGTGGGCCCCATTGCAATTTAGAGTCTAGTGTTATACCCAAAAACTTGGTGGTGTCCACAAGATCCAACTCCTTTCCATTTATTAGAACATTGGTTTTTACCTGCGTAATATTAGGTGTAAAAAATCTAATACATATTGTTTTATTCTCGTTTAAAAGTAAATTATATTAACATTGAACCAGTTCACAACCTTAGAGAGAGTGCTATCCATGTCATCAGTTACTGAATATTGTCGCTTCAATGCGGGCCAATAGCAATAAACGAAACAAAACCTAGAAGTTATTTATGTATTATGATTGTAAATATTGACTCAGAAAATGTATTTAGTTTTAATATAATAAATACACTTTAAAACGTAGAAGTTGAATGATATTTATTAGGACAAAGTATAGTGAAGGAACTTTATTATTTCTTTTTGTTAAACACTGACACCAAGCAGTTTCTTAAAACCCTCGGTCAAGAATTCACTATAGATCTGATCAGCGCTTAAACTTATATTATTATTATTATTTTTTTTTTTAATGATAATTATTTAGAGGTTCATTAAATCCTAACAAATTATTGGCATATTTCGTGGGTTCGATTCTCAAACAGGACGGATAAATGTGTAATAAGTACGATCATCTGTTCTGTTTTTTGGGTGCAATTTATCTATAATAAATTTGAAAATGCATTGGTGTGTTTATCATAGCACAGTCTCTGCCAAATTTTGGATGAAATGACTGTGTATGTGTGTGTGTGTGTGTGTACGATGTGTCAAGTTATGAAAGATGAAAGAAAGTGTATGTGAAAAAAAATATAGTTGCTTTTCATAAAGCTTACCTTACACTTTCGGGTAAGAACCAAGGCGCTAATATCACGATAAACATAGGAGCTGAAGTAACCCACATCAGCATGCGCCAGTCAGCAATGTAAAGAGCCATCCAAGGCAACGTGATGCCAGCAATCGCGAAAGAAAATGCTAAAATTAAGTTAGCTACCCAGGTACGGTATTGGGATCCCACGAATTCAAGAACTGAAAATATAAAAAACTTAAATTAATAATATCTACATCACAGTAAATGCACGACTGCACGGATAGCGTAGTGGTTTGAGCGGTCGCCACGCCGCTTCCTATTACGTCGAGTGTTGTGGGTTCAAACCCCACATGGGACAACACTTTGTGTGATCCACAAATTGTTGTACTGAGTCTGGGTGTACTTTGTGTCCGTTTCATGTATGTTTGTAAAGTCCCCCGCGACACAGGATTTATTCCTAGAGCAGGAGTTGTCTTTTTCAAAAAATAATAAAAAAAACGAAAAAGTAAAGGATTTCAGAAGTAATTTGATAATTCTTTGTGCAAGATTTCATCTTACGTATCAAAGATATCTATCAGCAATGCAAAACAAGAGTAACGGAATGGTTGAAACACGCACACAGACACACGCACGCACGCACGGACACACTTTTGTTTTGACATTTAATAAATAACTGATTTAACCAAACTTTGTACCTTATTTTATAAATAAACTAGACTGTTTACTCGAGAGCAAAAATTCGATTTATATCAATTATTTAATAACCTTCTCTCCTTCCGACCCCTTTTTTCCGAAACTAGGTTATGTCTACTACGACGGCTGAACTTCGTTTTTTTTTACGCGGGGCGACTGCCATCATTCCGCCACAACCCAAGTTCTAAGCGATATCGAAGTTCTCTAAAAATACAACCTGGACCGACGAGTTAAAGTGCTCTCCGAGGCACGGAAGGGTCTCCATGTGTTGGGAATGGTCACCTATCTATAGACTGACCTGGCTAGGATTGCTTAAAGTTGCAAACTTTTAACTTACTCGTTACCACATAGCCACAAGCCTACTAAGTTTACTATTTCATTACCTATTTATAGCATTATTTGTTGCCGAATTTTCCAGGTATCTTAATGTGGCCCCGATTCTTTGCTCTCGAATACATTTGTACACGATATTTTATAACTGGAAACTTACTTATAATGTATAGTACCATAAAACAATTGTCATATGTTAAGCCTGCCAAGAATCTGCAAAAAACGAAGTCCCACAGGCCGCTTGTGAATATTGTTGCTACACCGCTGACACCGCCTATTAAATTTGTAGCTGTAACAAAATAGTAGTCTATTAGTAAGAAATCACGATAACTTTATTTCAATTAAACTAATTATAGGGACTTATGAATAGTCAGGAGTCGGAATCAGTTAGGGTAAGTCAGCCATGAAGCTAGTTGCCTGGTAAGTAATATGAAACATATAATTGTTATTAAAACACTCTAGTGTCCAAACTGGAATCTATTCAATATGTTTTAATAGTGATAGGTAGCCATAAAAACGTATTTGGAATACTAAGGTTCAAGATCTTTACGTTGCCGAGAAGACCATGCCATTTACCATGCAATAAATTAACATAAATATTTTATAGTAGCAAAAACGTGCAACATCCTTTTTTACTATTAAAATGAATAAATTTTCTCCGTTTTGCAATAGCTGTTGATATTACGTAGCCTATTGATTTCCTCGATAAATGGGCTGGATGATGGCCTCGATAGATGGACCAGTAGCTCCTGGGATTAGCGCGTTTAACCAAACATACAAACTATTTCTTCTTTTAATATTTCGCCTTATAACATTAGTATAGATATCAAGGTTGGTGGACTTCCTAATCAAAGGCACTCCTTAGAAATGAAATGAAATTGAAATATTTATTCAACATAGTTACATGCTACAGAAATATCCTACTTCTGCTAAACTGCATAACAGTTTGATGGTATGTGCAACTTCCTTTTAATATACAAGAAACACATAGTATACACTACAAGCATTATTGATTACGTATTTTTCTTATATCTACCCAAGAAAGTTAGGCACACACACACGTTACACAGATGTGTAAGTACGTATGCACATACACTATAAGGACAATTGTTGTTTTTACATTGTTATATTGTTATTAACGCTTTCTAACAGAAACTCATATGTTCTCTTTTTAAATACTAGAAGAGTAAAGGATATAGTAGTAAAATATTATGAAGGAATAATCAGTAGGCTTAACATTTTCACGTACCTATTACGGCCGGCACTCTTCCAAACCGATCAGCTAGCAACCCGAAAGTAAAAGTGCCGGTAACAGACCCAACGAAAAATACTGACTGGGCGAACGGAATGTAGCTGGCACGATCACACACCCACTCTCTCTGTTAAAAGTAATACAGAATATAGAATACATCGAAGATCATTTTTTAACAGAGAATAAATAAATAATATCTTCGGAAATCCAACACACAACGCCATCTAGTTTCAAACTAATCAGAGATTGTACTATGAAAGCTTGATTGGCTGATAGAATACTTATATACTTGTTTTGTAAATACATACATATAATATATAGAAAACACCTAAGCTCCGAATCAAATATTAGCAGATCATACAAACATTTGGTCCGGACACGGGCATAGAACCCGAGACCTCAGCACAGCGGTCTCGGGTTACTGCACCAACGAAGCTATAAATGTTGAAATGTCTATCAAGCTAAACTAGTCATATAATAATTATGTATCAATTAAATAATGAATCGAAAACTGAACACTAAGGGAGTCCGAAGAAGACCAATGATTATTTACAATTTCGAAATTGTTAGTATTGTTTACATAGTAATGTAATCAATCAAATTGTTGGAAAATCCAACTAGACATTACCTGTAGACAACTATTTGTATGTGCCACAATGTGCCACGCTTTGATGTGGCAGATTGTGGCTAAAGTATTAACTATTGTAGATGAAGCCATCGTTAAAGCATGTTGTATATTGTGGCATTAATTTTTCAAAGGTGCTATTTTACAAGTTAGAATTTTGAATTAGAATTTTACGATTAGATTAGAATTCACATCAACAGCCTTTTATGGTCCACTGCTTGACCTGTCTCCTTAGAAAAGAAGTTTTGGCCTATACCAATCTGGCCAGACTGGTTGCTAAAGGTTTTAAAGCCAAGTTTTCCTTCTCTTTGCAGTGCTGTTTTCCTGCGTAGTTTGCTCCCTTCAACATCACACACACATCAACAGCCTTAAATAGTCCACTGCTGGACATAGGCCTCTCCTTAGAAAGGAGGTTCAGGTTTTGGCCTACTATACCACACTGGCTAAACGAGTTGGTATAGGGTTTGTGTCAAGTTTTCCTTCTCTTTGCAGTGCTGCTAACCTGCAGAGTTTGCTCCCTTAGTCGGCTCTTACGACACCCACGGGATCAATACGGGTGACATTCCATATTCTTAATCAAGTTTGTAACCAGGGTTTGTAACATACTACACGAGTGCATAGAAACTTTCCTCCAAACGAGCAGACGGGTCACCCATGGTATCATCAACATCATCATCAACAGCCTTTAACAGTCCACTGCTGGACATAGGCCTCTCCTTAGAAAGGAGATTTTGGCCTACTATTAGGCCCATGGTATATCTCGTTGCAACTCACCTCCGTAGTAACAGTGTGATACGGTATATCACTCAACTCAAACTCCCAGCCGTGCTGGCATGGTACGAGAGGATCTCTGCCTGTGGGTGGAGTCAACGTCTCCAATACTTTTGTCCAATTAGTATCGAAGGTCTGACAGTGGTCCCACTGACCTGTAAGAGCTCCAGGTGCTGACAGATTTCGTCTGTAATAATAAAAATAATAATCCATTTATTTTAAACTAATAATATTTTTAACCTTATAATTTAGTAATGTTAAAAATCTAGGTCCTATTACACTTTACATGAGACTTGCTCAGGTACAGGACTAATGAACAGTCATATTATTTTAGTGTCGTAGGGCTTTCGAGACCAGGGCCTCAATTCTGCTATTTTATGTTCACGCCAAGCCACTGTCATACTACTGACACGCTATTGAGATGCCATCGAGGGGGCATTGGCATCGGTATAAATATCGGTAGTCTACACTAACTAAGTCTCTTTACAGTGGCGATGTAATGGCAGTGGCCTATCAGTGGTGATATCAAAAAGATTGCCATATTTGGAAAAATAAATAAATCATTTCCTCAAAAAAACGTAATATATTTTCAAATTATAAGGAAATGATTACCGCGGTCCCAAATTCCCTTATAGATACAATAATTATTTTTGGGTAGTATATTGGGACAACTAATTAAAAAAAAAGATGTCTTGGGAAAGTACGGTCAACAAAAAACAATTGAAGATATACAAATAAAACTATTTTCATAAAATGATACAATATTTCCCTTATTTCAAAATTAAGTTCAACAGTTTGCCAATGTGGTCTGCAACGCTACGGTGGAAGAAACCAGGCCCCTCGTTTCTACCTCACGGAAACGAAATGGGAACGATGAGGTAAGTGCCCCCCCTCTTAAACGTCTCCAAACTCAAACGAAATCCTTTGTTAGTCGTGACAAATACACAAACAATGACAGTGGTCCCTACATGGTACATGTTTCTCGCGTGGAGAGCCAGTTAGGCTCTGGTACAACTCTCCATCCTGTTTCGTTTGGACTTTTTCTTTTTAAAAACAATATAAGTAATATTGTCAGAGATGGTATTAAAAAAGTTGGAAGGAATAGAGTATCCGTACAGTTTTCATCCCCTCAGGATGCTAATGCATTCCTAATTAACCCCCTCTTAAATATTTATAAATTCACTGCCAGCATTCCTACTTATAACATTACTAGAATGGGTGTTGTTTCTGGTATCCCTACCGACATGAATGATGATGAAGTAATTAAATTTGTGACAGTGCCGCAGGGCTGTGGGCAGATTATTAAAGTCAGGCGTCTTAACCGAAAATCATTTAATGAAGGTATCTTGGAGTGGAAGCCAACAGAATCCTGTGTCCTCACTTTTGATGGCCAGGTTCTACCTAAACGAGTTTTCTGCTGTTATAATTCTCTTCTAGTACAGCAATATATTTACCCCACCGTCCAATGTAGGAAATGCTGCAGGTTTGGTCATGTGGAGTCTATCTGCAGATCTAGGCCTAGATGCAACAAGTGCGGACATGAGCATCCCAGTAACGAATGTGAGGTAACAGAAACGGGGGCCTTTTGTGTCCTATGCTCTGGTGGTCACTTTGCCAACAGCAAGGCTTGCCCGGAGTATGGCAGGCAGAGGGCCATTAAGATCATGATGGCGGAAAAAAACATTTCCTATATGGAAGCAAATAAAGTGGTCCCTTCTACTACTCGCAGCTATGCTGATACCCTAAAGACCCCACAATTTACCCAATCCTCTCAGCCCACCCAACCCATCCAGTCTACCCAGTCCCTTCAGTCTACCCAACCCCTTCAACAAACCCAGTCCTACCGAAAAACTGTTCTTCGGCAGCCTAAACCTCGCCCTACACTATCCAAATCCTATGATACAACTGCACACCAATCTATCATCCACTCTCCCCAACCTTCTCAACCTAATGGTTGTGCTCTTAACTCATCACTCGAGACTTCTACTATTGACCTTATAATACAGCTTTTGACTTCTCTATTAACCTCCAATTTACCTCTATCTCAATCCCCTTCTAGTATACCGTCCAACGTTGCCAACACACTCATCAACTTATTAACCAACTTTAAAAATGGCATCCCAACAAGTATTCCTACAGTGGAATGTGAGGAGTGTGTTTCATAAGAAGCACGACCTCATATTCTTGTTGAATAAATACAAGCCTTTGGCTGTCTCTCTTGCTGAGACTTGGCTTCTACCGGGTCTCAACTTCCATGTTCCAAATTTCAACATGCTTAGATGCGACAGGTCTGATGGTTACGGAGGTGCAGCCCTCCTTATAAATAACAGAGTCCCTCTATTACCCCTCCCCTTACCCCCATTCCCAGATGATATCAGCATTGTAGCAGCGAAAATCAGTAGTGTATCTGTGCTTTCCATCTACATTGCTCACCCCCAGCAGAGTTTCCTCCCTATATTGAGAGACTTGCTACAGAGCCTACGGAGCCCAATACTAGTTATGGGAGATTTCAACTGCCATCACTTTAGATGGGGATCTGAGCACTGTGACAGTTTTGGCATTGGTTTGTTGGAGATCATTGATGATTTGAACCTCTGTGTTCTCAATAATGGCTGCTCCACTCGTAGAGTCCTCCCTGGTCAGAACAAAAGCTGTGTTGATTTGACCATTTGCTCCCTGGAAGTTGCTGCGGCTGCTTGCTGGCGGTGCACGGATTTGTCTCATGGTAGCGATCATTACCCAATATTATTATCCCTCCCTAGCTCAACTCACCTGGAAAAATCATGCCCTCCCCTCTTAAAATATAACCTCTCGGAAGCTGACTGGCGAAATTTCTCTCAAATCCTTGAATCCAATGTTCATACCCTCCCTAGATTTGACTACAGATCCCTATCCTACGATGATCGCGGCCATGTGACGGACTATTGTGATGCCTTTGTGGATGCAATTAGGTCAAGTGCGGACAGCTGCTTTAAAATTAAGAATTCCTCTAGGGGCAAAATTCCCTCACCCCCTTGGTGGGACAGTGAGTGTACTAATGCCATCAGGCTAAGAAAAGAGTCCGAAAGGAGATACAATGCTCACATGTCAACTCAAAATTTACTAAATTATCAAAACGTTTTTGCTTCTACCAAGCGACTCCTCCGACGCAAAAAGCGCATTGGTTGGATTAGCTTCTGCTCCTCTTTGTCCCCATCTACTCCATCTTCTATTGTGTGGAAGAACATAAATCGGTTCCGGTCTGGATGCTCTCCCTCAGTGTCTTCCTCTATCTCCACAGACACAGCTGAACTCCTCCTAGACAAAATTGCCCCCCCTTATGTCCCACATCTAGATGAAGTCTCCCAACCAAGTGTTCCAACTCAGTCGCTAGGTACTCACGATGAGCCTTTCTCCTTGGAGGAGCTGAACATGGTTCTTCACAATGTGCGAGACTCTGCTCCTGGCATGGATGGTATCCCATACTCTTTTATAGCCAATGCTAGCTCTAGTACAAAATCCTACTTCCTAAACATTTTAAATTTTTGCTGTACCAATGGTTGGGTCCCGGATAAGTGGAAGGTTCAAATAATTATTCCCATTTTGAAACCTGGCAAACATGCAGGAGACCCAAACAGCTTCAGACCAGTTGCTTTATCATCAGTTTTACCTAAATTACTTGAACACCTTATTAAAATCCGTCTCGAGTGGATTGTGGAATCAAGGAATCTACTACCTAATTATCAGTTTGGCTTCCGTAAAGGTCTTAGTACCATGGACAGTGTTGCGGTGTTGGTAACCGATATCCGTCTTTCTCTGTCGCAGGGTGCGTCCACAGTAACATCTTTTCTCGACATAACTGCGGCATATGACAATGTCCTACTACCCATTCTCAGGCAAAAACTGCACCAGCTGAGACTTCCGGTCAGAATGATCCATTGCATATGTGCAATGCTTGTGTCTCGAACTCTAGTCCTAAGGATCTTAGGAGAGGAGTTCGACCAGAGAAAGACGTGGAGGGGCTTGCCACAGGGCTCTGTACTGAGTCCTCTATTGTACAACCTGTACACTGCAGATATGAGCTCATGTTTAAACAATGATTGCAGTATACTACAATACGCCGACGATCTGGCATTGTATGTAACCAGCCATTCCATCCAAGATGCAGCCACATCGCTCACAACCTCCCTTAATTCTCTGTGGCGGTGGCTATCATCCCACGGCCTTAGCCTCTCTGCACAGAAGAGCGCAGTCGTTGTCTTTACTGGAAAGAAGACTCTGCCACAGATTGATGTCAAAGTACAGCTGCAGGAAATTCCTCTAGTTAATAAATTTAAATTCCTCGGGGTATATTTAGATTCTAAGTTGACTGGCGTTCACCACATTAACCATCTAGTCTCAAAATGTGAACGAACTATCCCAATTTTAAAGGCCCTGGCCGGAGTTTGGTGGGGAGCCCATCCATACACCATGAAGCTAGTGTACAATGCCTTAGTGCGCAGCATATTGGACTATGGTGTTTTCCTACTGGTTCCATGCAATAAAGGCGCATTAGCAACTCTGGATAGGATCCAATCTAGGTGTCTTAGAATTATTACTGGTTGCATGAAGTCATCCCCCATTAACGCATTACAGGCTGAATGCTCAGATCCACCTTTAAAATTAAGAAGACAATATTTTGCTTCATGTTTTGTTTTGAAATTTATTTGTAAATTGACCCACCCTCTTCTTCCAAAAATTACTGACTTAGACATAACTTGCAATACCTCTAAGTACTGGGCACATAAAGAAATTCCATTGATTCTGCAATCCTTTCGCTACTACTTTCCCTTTACGAATTTAACTGTAAAATTTGACAAACTTCCTCTTTTTTCATTTGAATACAGTATACTTAGTTTTAAGCCGAATGTGTTCTTGGATGTGGGAATTCCTAAGGGATCTGCCTCGGCTGTTCCCACCTTTAACGCTTATGTTGATGACCACTTGGTAGGGTTTGAGAGGTTTTTTACAGACGCATCCAAACTGTCAAGCGATAGTTACACTGGAGCTGCGGTGTACTACCAAAACTCCAGAATCATTTTGCAGTTTAAGTGCCCAGAAGAGTCTTCTGTATTTACGGGCGAGTGTGTCGCGGTATTGGAGGCATGCCTATATGTTGAATCGCACAACATCTATAAGGCTGCTATATTTACTGATTCTCTTAGCTGT